AGCAAACCACAAACCTCAGCAGAGCTCTGCGCCGGTTCAATATGGTCCCCCCAAATTTCGGTCCCCCCAGATCATGGCCTTATTAGCAGAAGACGCTGGATTGCAGTGGGACCTAAATCCCATGAGAACGTCCTTGCAAGACACGGAGAAGGGCGCACGGAGCAGAGGAGAAGCAGTGACTGGAACATCGAGTGTACAAGCCAAGGGACACCAAGGATCGCGGGCAGCCACCAGAAGCCGGAGGAAGGGTCTGGATTCGACTCTTCCCCAGAGTTTCCAGGAGGAACCAACCCTGCCAACACTTTGATCTCAGACTTCTGGCCTCAGACTGGGAGAGAGTAAATATTTGTCCCTTTGAAACCATCCAGTCTGCGGCGCTCTGTGACAGGAGCCACGGGAACCGAATTCGAGCCGCGGGGACGGCCCGGAGCGTGGAGCCCGCGCCCTGCTTCAGCCGCTCCCTCTGCTCTCGGGCTGTGCCCGCACCCGGCAGCGTCTGCCGCACCACCTGGTCACAGGCCCCCCAGCTAGCAGCCTCTCCTCGGGGTCGCCAGCCCCGGCGGCTCATGGAGGGCCTGAAGGCTCCTCCCCAAGATCTGGCTGCCCTTCGGGAAAAGACCAGCCCTGGCAGTGCGCTTCCGAGCAGGACGGCGACATCCGTGTTCTGGGGAAGGGCCGCCCCGGGAGCGCGCGCAGGGGACTGGCCGGTGGCTAGGGTCAGGGTAAGGGCCACCAGGCCTTCAAGGCTGAATCCGGGGACCGTGTGCCGGGGACAAAGGCAGGTGAGCTGGTCACGGCTCGGGCGCCCTCAGCAGCGCTGGGACAGAGGCCGAGCGGGCCAGCGTCTCGGTGGCCCCGGACGGTTCTCGCATCCCCCCAAGATCTGGCCCTGCTCGGCCACAGCCTTCAGGGCCAAGACAAGACTGGGAGTAAAGCACTGCTGTTGGTGTGTCTGAAGGAATGTGTTGTGCTTGAACACAAATTTTATTGATCCTGAAGTGACAAGACATTTTATTGACATTCTGTGGAGGATCAATGGCGGATAAAAACGCAGAACAGACATCAGGCCTTCCCTAGACGAACCTTCCATGTGTAAATAGATTCCCCCTAAACAGACAACTGTTATAGACACAGCTCTGGGAACCCCCGGGGTTTCTCCTGCCACCCCAGGAAGTTCTTAAAGAATTCAGACTGGGGACACAGTAATTCACGAATGCTCTTTTCCTAAGGTAATTTTCCCCATTTTGTGGGTGTTTTGTTCCTGTCAATCACTGGGTTAAAGAGTGGCAAATCAAGCAGATATTGAATCATCTGGAAAGTCAACCAGTTGGCATTAGACTACTGCCTCTATCTCATGTAAGAACGAGGACTGTAGCTATATGAGGTTTATACATACTCTTATGGAATTCGCTTTTCTTAAGGTCTCTGTCATTTAATTTTCTTTCTTGATAAGAAATCAGTGCTTTGGAGCAATAATATGCAGGCAGCCCTTGCTCAGCGGTGGAGTTGACGCGAAGGTGAGACCAAACAGGCCAGCACCCACCAAGCCGTGGCAGTATCTGTACCACACAGACCCACCCAAGCACCTAAAGGCTCAGCCTGCCCCACGCCACAGGCACCGGTGCCAGCACAGTTCTCCCGTGGCTTGCGGTGCTGTGCTCGCATAGGGCAAGGGTCCACCCCAGTCTCCTCCCCCTGCACGTGACAAAGTGTGCATACCTGCCAGGTGCCCTCCAAGACATGCTCCCCACGTGCAAATCCTACCACACTGCAAGGGGACCTGCCGGTCTACAGAATCAGGCCTCTCCAACTCAGACAACCCCGGACACCCCGGGCAGGGCTGCTGGCCTGACCCTCAGACACTTCCCATGAGGCAATGTGTGTCCGTTTGCCCGTTTGCACGTGTGCCCGTGCATGTGTGTGCACACGTGTATGTGCGTACATGTGCACACATGTATAGTGTGCATGCACGTATACAGGTGTGTGCACACGCATTTGTGTTTGTGTGTGCGTGCGTGTGCCTATACTCATGCGTGTGTGTGTGTGTGTGTGTGTGTGTGTGTGCACGTTCAAGGCCTCTGCCTGTATTGTGTCATGACACCAGCCAGGAGTAAAATGTTTAACCGCCAGCTGTGTGATCTTCATCACAAACGCTATCTGACTGGTTTTTTAAATGAAATGATTACTTAATTGAATTTCAGTCAAAAATTCAACTGTGTGGTTGAGATTTGCCACTCCCTCTCACAAAGGAAAGATATCTGAGACCCTGGGAGGGCCTGTTGATCCATCTAAGTAAACGTGCCTGGTTTGGTGGCAACCTCATTTGTTATCTTAATTAAAATATTCCCTTAAAAATAAACAACCTTTATGTTTAAAATCATAACTTACGAACTCAGCATTGAGCCATGTAACAACGCTAAAACATGTTTTGTTTAATTCTGGTACTTTGTCATAATCACGAACTCCCATCTGGCCTCCACCAGGCCCAGGCGTTCATTATTATTCTGAGAAGCAGAGTAAGACCATTTTAAGAAAGTCCCAGGGACTGACATTATTTTCTAAGGAGCACAAGGAATCAACTTTAAACAACTAAAACTTATAGGAAGTGCATGAGAAGTGAGTGCCTCAAAGCAGGTGCCCGTCAAGCAGGGCAAGAGAGGTCCCTTATTCTGAAGGAAGCTCAGTAGCTTCCATAATTCCCCACTCATTTCCCTGAGTACTGATCTTTGGAACAATGGAAGTTTAGGGAGACTTGATTTTATTTCCTCTAACAAACTCTAAAAAATAAAACCCTGGTATCCCACATTATTATATCAGCCTCTTTAAAGTGGAGTTAACAATATTTGTGGATTTAGAAATGCTTGCATCTTTAAAACTCTCACCTAGTCTGTTGGTCACATAGAAGTTCGCCAGGGGAAAAGCAGCTGTCTGCGCACCCCAGATGCTCCCTGCTGCCCTGACCGGATGACCACACAGGTGGCCCCATGCTCCGGCTGGCTCCTGCGCCAGCCTAACCCTAACCCCCCCACCTCATTCTCCCCACCACCACCTCCTCCTTTTGCCTTCTGTTCTATCCCAAGAAATTTCTGAAACTTTAGAGAGGTCACTGATTTTGATTGCAAATTTAAAAGATTCATAAGGCATATAAAATTTTAAGCTGTGCAAATCACGTAAGATGGAACATTTCAGAAAGCAAGAAGGATTCTGGACAGTCTGACATCTTGTGTCCATGCATTTTGCTCTGTGGAGGTCGTCCCTGCCCAGTGGCCCTCCCGCCGTGTGCCCACCCACCCAGGGTACACTGGCCTAGCCACCTCTGCTGTATAGGTTCGGTGGGGGGTGGGGGTGGGGGAGTCCAGCCTCGCAGCTGTCTATGAGATGTCTGCTCCGGGAGTGCAGAGCGTCCCTGCTCAGGAAGCAGAAAACACCTGGCAATTCCTTCTTGATTTGACTTAGGTAGATGATGAAAAGCATCTTAAAAGCCACTTTTGGGCAGCTCAGGTGGCTCAGAGGTTTAGGGCCGCCTTCAGCCCAGGGCCTGATCCTGGAGACCCGGGATCAAGTCCCACATCGGGCTCCCTGTGTGGAGTCTGCTTCTCCCTCTGCCTCTCTCTGTCTCTCATGAATAAATAAAAAAAAAATATTTTTTTTTTAAAAAAAGCCACTTTCACTGCCGCTTATCACATTTCCTGCATAAGGTTGATGGCCAGTGGGCTGGTGGCGCAGGGGCATGAGAGGGGCCAGGCTGCGAGGACCAGCGGTGGGACTAGTTGGGTCACGCCCTCAGCCTGGCTGAGTCCAGAGGCTAGATATGGGCCAATATCTGAAGAGCACTGTGGATGAGCGCCTACTAAACCGGCTATGAATCATCCTCTTTGCTCAGGTAGCATCAACATAACAAGGAGGAAACACTGGCCCGTTGCCTCTGATCAGATCCCCCATGTTCCACAGTAATCGCCCAAGCATCGGCACGATGGATTTGCCACCTTTGACCCACCTCCGTGGGTCAAGTGCTGACCGGTGACAGGTCTCCACTCCTCTGCATGGACGTGGGACCTCCTCTCTCTAGTAGCCTCCCAGTGCAGCCGGGCCGCTGGCCAGGTCCCAGCTGGGATAGGGGCCTTGGCTGTCAAGAAATTGGGAACTCTGGCTTTGTGCAAGACGCCTGGGAGCTGAGAAGAAGTCTCATCCCAGAGCCTAGACCTGGAAACTCCACCTCCGTCCCTAAATCCGGATACCCTCCCACAGTTAGAAGTGAACCCCTATGCACTATAAAGATACTGCACATAACTTATTTAGCTTTTGTCACCTGAAAGGTTTTTGTGTGGTGTTCACTCCTGGCAGAGCACCGGGTGTGTCCTCATCTCCCTTCACCGGAGGCGCACACTATTCAGGCCGAGCCAGGGTGGGGCTCTGCTCCAAGCACCTTAAGAACTACCAGCATTGCTGTCTGGTGCCACGATTGCAGCACATGCAGTTGAACTACCTTCTCCCCAAGGCTCTGAGGCAGCCTGGCTCCCGGCCAGCCCACCAGACTGGATGGAAGCATATTTTGCTGTCACCTAGCATGCATTTCATATTGTGTGTGTAAGTATGCACACACATGTATATCCCAAGGATGTAAAAGTACGACCTTCACATCAATTAAGGCTATTTAAGGGGTGTGTTTCAGATGAAATGCCGTAATATGCAAAATCACCGGATTAATGAATTAATCGACAGGAAAATAGTCTTTGCCAGAAAAACTATGACTGTGAATTTCCAAAATAGGATTGGCTTGTTCATATATATTAACCAAAAATAAGCTCCGCTTTGCAGTAGAAACCCCACCGCCAGCTTCCAAAAAAAGAAGTGTCTGAAAGTTAGCTTTAGGAAGAGGTTGGTTGGAGTCAACCACCCAGCGCTACACGCAACTGCTCCAGTTCAACATTTGTCTGACCAAATCGCGGGAGACCGATTTGTGTGTCGACACACCCGCTAAGTCCAACCGGATGAGTATCTCCAATAACATAGCAATTGATTTAATAAAGGAACTAACCAATTTTAAATCGCAATAAATTTACCAAACATTTTCACCGTTTATGGAGAGCTTTACAGTAAGAAAGTATCAACAAAAGCAGGCACATCCGTGTACAAAGTGTTGCTGTTGGGCGCAGTTTCGCGTCAGCCGTCCCTAAAGCAGCGGCTGCTCCGTCCGTCCGTCCGTCCGCGCAGCCTGGGCCCTTCCTCCCGGGAGGCCGCCCTGGCTCTCTGAGCTCTCACCCTGGACCGGACTTGCCACAGAGAAGTGCGCTGGGGGCGAGGCAACCCCGAGACATTTATTGTAAACTTTAAAATGGAATCCGGGTACGAACAGACACAGAAAAGAAGGGAAACCTCCCAGACACAGAAATGGTGACAGCGGAGGGCGGGCCGGGCGGCGGGGGCGTCCGCGAGCGGGGCCGGGGCGCCCCTGGGAGTGCAGCGCCGCGCGGGTCCTGCTCGCTGCGGGGGCCGAGGCCGGTGGTCGGTGGTCGGTGGCCGGTGGCCCGTGGTCGGTGGCCGGTGGCCGGTGGCCCGTGGTCGGCGGCCCGTGGCCCGTGGTCGGCGGCCCGCGGCCCGCGGTCCGCGTGGCCCGGCGCTCAGCAGGCCCGGCCCGGCTCCCACGCGCGCCCCGCCTCCTCGCACGGCGGCCGGCAGCAGTAGGGGTAGGAGGCGTTGAGGTCGGGGTCCGAGGGCGCGTAGCCCGGCAGCTCCACCGACGGGTGCCCCCCGCAGCGCACCTCCGCGCCCGCCTCGTCCCGCGCGTGCAGGACGCCCACGCTGATGTAGGACACGGCGTGGCGCGCCGCGAGGCCCGCGCAGTCCCCGGGGGCGGCCAGGTCCGACTCCTCCGGCGCCAGGATGGACGCCTCGCTCGGCCGCGGCTGCAGCCGCCGCCCCCGCCGCCCCCGCCGGCCCCGCCGCGCCCGGGAGGCCGCAGGCTGCGCGCGGAGCCCGGGGCCGCCGCGGGGCCGCGCCGGGGCCCGGGCCGCCCTCCTCCGGCCGCGCCGGCCGCGCCGAGCCTGCGACGCGCGGTAGTTCTTGACGAGCAGCAGGCTGAGCAGGCCGAGCAGGCACTCGAGCGAGTTGAAGACGGTGGAGAGCACCAGGCCGCGCTGGTAGTCCTTGAGCTGGCGGCACTTGGCGGACGTGGCGCTGTCCAGGGCGCTGCGGGCGCGGGGCGCGGGGGGCGCGGGCGGCGCGGGCGGCGCGGGCGGCGCGGGGGGCGCGGGCGGCGCGCGGGGCGGCAGGCAGTAGTGCGAGTACTTGCGTTCCACGAGCGACACGGTGTCGCCGTCGATCACGGCGCCCGCGAAGGCGCTGAGGACCCCGAGCATGAAGACCAGGACGCCGAGCAGGAGCAGGTTGTGGCTCTTCGCCGGCCCCGCGGGCCCCGCGCCGTTCCCCGGCTCCCCGGGCGCGGCCTCCGCGGCCCCCGCGCGCGCCGCGGCCGCCCCGAGCCCCGGGCCCCGCGCCGGCCCCGCGAGCGGCGCGTCCCGGGGCCCGCAGCAGAGCAGGGCGGCGCCGAGCAGCGAGAGGCCGGCGGCCAGCAGCAGCCCCGAGTAGAAGGCGCCGGCGGCCGCCCCCAGCCGGAACGGCTCCCCGCGCAGCTCCGAGCCCAGCGAGAAGCACTTGAGGCCGACGGCGGCGGCGCTGAGCGCGCAGGCGAGCAGCAGGCAGGAGGAGAGCGCGGCGCAGGCCCCGCGGACGCTCCACTTCATCCTCCGCGCCCGAGCCGGCCCGCGCCCCGCGCGCCCGCCGCCGCCCGCCGCCGCCCCCGCCGCCTGCGCCTCCTCCCGGCGCCGCGCGGCCGGACCGCCGGCCTCCTCCTCATCCTCCCGCGTCCTCCCCGGCCCGCGCCGCCGCCGCCGCCGCCGCCGCCGCCGGAGTCCGCATCCTCCGCCTCCCGCGCCGGGAGCCGCTGCGGCGCAGGACCGCGGGGCGCGCGCCCCCTCCCCAGCCCGCCGCGCCCCTCCCCGCCCCTCCCCGCCCCTCCCCTCCCCGCCGCCCCGCGCGCCCGGCCCGGCGCCGCCCTCCCCCGCCGCAGCCCCCGCGGCCCGGGACGCCCGCCCGCCGCCCCCCCGGGGAGAAGCGCCCCCCGCGTCTCCCCGCCCCGCGCCCCGTGCCCCGGCCGCCCGCCCCCCCCCGCAGGGCGCCCCCCGGGCCCTCCCGCCCCCCGGCCCCTAAGCCTGCGCCTCCCCGGCGAGCGGCCCACGCCCGCCGCCCGCCCGCGGCCTGGAAGCCGGAGGGACTCAGCCTGCGGGCGCGGGAGAGGAGGGGGAGCCCGGTGCCGGCGGAGGCGGAGGCGGAGGACGCAGGAAGGGAGAGCCCGGGTGGGGCGCGGGCGGGGGCGGGGGGAGCCGGGGAAGGGCTGGGCCTGCGGGGGGGGGGCGACGGTGCGGGAGGCCGGGCCGGGCGGGGGCCGGGGAGGGCAGTCCGGGCGCGCGGGGTGCCGGGGAGGAGCCGCGGCGGCCTCAGGCGCAGCCCCGCACGGAGCCCCTGCGGACCTCAGTCAGGACGGGCCTCCCGGGGCTCGGGCGCGTGACAGGGGCTGCCGCGGAAGGCCCTGGGGGCGGGGCGGGGCGGCGCGGGGCAGGGGGCGGCAGCGCCCTCCCCGGCCTCCCGGGCCCTCCGCCTCCGCCCGAGACCGGCCCTGGGTGGACCCGGCGCGGGGCTCCGGGGGGCTGGGCCTGCGCCGCCGCGGCTCGCCCGCACCCCGCTGCGGCTGCGGCCTGGAGCCCGGGAGCCGGGAGCCGGGAGCCGCCGGCCGCGGCGCTGAACAAGCTGGCGCCGCATCCAGGGGGGCGGGCGCGGGGGGCGCGGGGGGCGCGGGGGCCGGGGGGGGCGCATCGGGGGCGCAGGGCGCCGCGCAGCCCCCGCCGGCCCCGCCGCCCACCCCGGCTCCCCCAGCTCGCGGGCGGCGCCCCTTCCTGCCCGAGCGCCCGGCGAGGCGGACGCGAGCCCCCGAGGCGCCCCGGGGGGGGCAGCGAGCCCGCGCGCAGGAGCCCCCGCAGCCACGGACCCCCGGCCCCGTAAACGCAACTCGAAGGCCCTCGGTGCGGCTCCCTGGACATGTGCGTGGGACCGACCCGAGCCGCGTCCGCGGGCGCCGGGCGGGGAAGCAGCGGCTCTCGCCGTATTTTTAGCGCCGAGCGCAGATTTTAGAACATCAGCCGAACCTCCTCGTCCGTCCCGCTCCTCGGCGGATGACTTGCCCGGAAAGTGGGCATAGTGAGCCTCCTTTCACACGCATGGTGCACAGGCTCTAAAAGGACAGTGTGTAAATCAGCTTGTATAATAACGTGGCACCCACGCGCGTGAGCGGAGTTGCCATGAGCTTACTTCCAATGATTATTCCGGTTTCCAGGGAGACGAGGTTTGCAGCCACCTCCGTGGAGAAGGAGGGAGCAGCCTCTCCATTCCCCTGCGGGCGCCAGCCAGATTGATTAGGCCTGGGGGCGGAAGTGAACTGACGACGGTGGCTCTTCCTCCGCCCGGATCCCCGGATCCCCGGATCCTCGGATCCTGGGGAGGAGGCCCGGGGGGCGGGTGCTGCGGTTTAGGTTTAGGTTTTTGGTTTGAGATCTGGCCTCCGCTCTCCTTCGTGCCCCGCCCCCACCAACCTCTGGCCAGACACTTCCATGCCCCTGAGCACCACCTTGTTCCTTAAACTGATCGTACCTCTTCCTGCCACGGGGCCTTTGCACGTGCTGTTCCCTCTTCCTGCTGCAGGTGTCCCTTGCCGCATCCTCACCTGGCTCCTGCCTTCTTGTTCCTCAGATCTTAGCTTCACCTCACCAACTTTCGTTGGCTGCCTGCTGTCCTGCAGACACCGTGGAGTGCTTTGCATGGGTTTTCTTTTGTAGTCCTTGCACCAGACCCTGAGTCGTGTGGCCCTGTAATTCTCACACAGGCTTTCTATGAATTAGCCAGTGACTTGTGGAGTCAGGGTTCAAACCCAGGCTCCGTGCCCAACCTCCTTTCCCCTTGACCTCCCTCCCCTCACCAGACACCAGCCTCCCTCCCTGCTTCCCCTCCTCCCTGCCCCCAGCCCCTCGCAGAGGCCCCCCCTAACAGGTGGGAACTCCTGGTGGTCTAAAGGTCTGTCCTCCCCATCAGATTAGCTGCTCAGGGCAGGCAGGCTCCAGGTCCAACTGATCCCTCGCTCCTCCCCATCAGGATTCAGTCCTGCCCTGGCTGCGTGGAATGAGTGAGTGAATGAATGAATAGGTGGCCAGCACTGACCCTGGGACACTCTGTCCTGTGATCCTGCCCTGGCTGCGTGGAATGAGTGAGTGAATGAATGAATAGGTGGCCAGCACTGACCCTGGGACACTCTGTCCTGTGACAGAGTCTAAGTATCTGGTTCTGCTCATTGGAAGAATGCACCAGGCCAGCAGGCAGAGGAGGCACCCACCTGGTGTTGAGGTAAGGGAAGGCTGTCTAGGAGGGAGGTGGGAGGGAGGGAGGAAGGGAGGGAGTGGGGGTGGGTGGGTGCTAGGGAGGGAGGGAGGGAGAGAATGGGTACTAGGGAAGGAGGGAGGTGGGAGCAGGGTGGGAGAGAGGGAGGTGGGGGACGGGAAGGGGGAGCCAGGCAGGGAGGGAGGAGCTGGGAGGGAGGGACGGAGGGAGGGAAGGAGTAGGTGGGTGCTAGGGAGGGAGGGCAGGAGGAGCTGGGAGGGAGGTGGGGGCAGGCAGCAGGAGGAAAAGCAAAGACAGCAGAAGGGAGCTTGGACCGTCTACACCTCCAAAAATGTTGAGGGCAGAGAGCAGGTGACCTGCCAGAAAGGGTCCTGAGCTGCGCCAGTTTGGAATTCATCCTGAGGGTTGGGAGACCCTAGAAGGGCAGGAGGATACTGTGGTGTGTATTTTGGAGGAACACTGCCCCGTGAAGACTGGGTTGAGGAGACAAGGCATGTGGGGGGTTCGGGAGCACTTGGGGTGCAGGTAGAAGGGTCCTACCCCATCGTGGTGTTATTGCAAGTATTATAATCTCTCCTGTTTGCTGCCTGGCGCTCAGCACATAGTCGCCTGTCTTCCGTCTCTATCTGCAGGAAGGAAGGGCAGCAGGCTGTGGTCCCTGTTATTTTTTTTTTAAGATTTTATTTGTCTGGGGGAGAGAGAGAGAGAGCAAGCGAGCATGAGCAGTGGGAAGGGGCAAAGGGAGAGGGAGAAGCAGGCTCCCTGCTGGGCTCCGTCCCAGGACCCCTGGATCCTTGGACCATGACCTGAGCCGAAAGCAGACGCTTAACCAACTGGGCCACCCAGGCGCCTCTGTGGTCCCTGTTACACAGAGCTTCCTTTTAGGGTGACCGCATAACCATCCCTCTCTCACGGGGAGGGCCTCTCTGCACCTGAAGTGGTTTCTGACACCCATAACCCGGGGTGTGAACTGAAATGACCCACACACATTTTGAAAGCTGCCTCTGTTGCTTTCCTGTGGAATCCTTTCTCCCAACCCCTGCCAGAGTCACCTGTGAAGCCCCTTCCCTCCCAGCCACGCGGCACAGCCAGAGGCACCCCCTGGGATGAGCAGCTGTGGGCCACAGTGGGGTGATTTGGGTGCTCAGAGGTTGCTCAGGGGACCCACACTGGAAAGGAGCAACACTCCAGTGAGCAATGACTTTAGACAGGTTGTTGGGGAAGGAGGAGTGACTTCGAACATCACAGAGCCCGCCATGTGCCACATACTTTCTCAGGGACCAGTGTAGCACCTCCATGCGGGACACATCACTGCTAGGATTCTGAAGACAGGGAACCAGAGCCCAGAGATAAAGGCTCAAACCGATTATAACGGTAATCATGTATGAAGTGAAGAATATTTTCCCTTTTAGCTTTAAATTTCATTTTAATATTTAGTATTTATTAACATTTGAAATCCAGTCTCCTAGAGTACTGACTTCAGTTAACTTAGCTGATTCTAATTACTTGTTTTCGCATTTGTTTGTCATTTAGCTTTTCAGTATTTTTATTCTTTATCTTTTTAACTGGCTAAATAATAGAATTTTTCTTTTATTATTATTTCTCAGTCCCCTTTTTCCAGGAACAATCAATGCTGATCTTCACTTATGGACGTAGTGTGTGCATTTATGTGCCAACATTGCATAGGCGGTGATTAATCCAAAAAACTCTCACAAAACCAGAGCCAGTGAGTTCTGCAAGACATGAGAATGTATTATTTTAAATGCTTTTATCTTGTGAAATGTAATAGATCCACAGAAAAACTCTATAATGTAACAGCTTGATGACTTATAAATGAGCATCTATATACTTGCCACCCAGTCAAGGAACAACGTTGCAGGCACCTCCGCAATCACTGCCCTCCCTCCCAGGAAGGTTCCACTGGCTTCATTTGAAACCACTTTTCTTGTGTTTATTTACACTTTTATCACCTACACGTGTATCTCTACACATTTTAGTTTGGCTGTGTGTATTATTTGGACTTCGTATAAGTGGAATTATAGAACATGATTGCTATACGTCAGTTTTTTTTTTTCATCCAAGGAGATACCTCTAAATTTTAGCCCTGTTGTTTTCTGTGTCTGTAGTTCACTCACTTTCGTGGCTGGATCCTAAGCCATCCTAAGAACATGCCACAGTTTATTTTTCCATTTTACTGATGATTTGATTTGACCGTTGATAGTTTGGGGATATCATGAATAAAGCTGTTGTGAACTTCCTTGCGTGTGTACTGATGTGCTTTGGCGTGCATTCTGTTGGATCCCGAGTAATATATCTGTTCAGATTTTTGTGCCCTTTTGTAGTGAGAATCAACTGGCGTGGATAGCAATCACTCATTTTTAAGTGTACAATTCCATGAATTTAGATAACTGTACACGCCGCGGTCAGGTCATGATGCGGGCTGTTCCAGCTCCCCCAAAGCACCTCCTGTCCGCCCCTCTCCTCAGTCCAACCCCCTCACACCTCCTCATCTGCTTTCTGTGCTGTAGTTTTACTCTATAATTTCATATACCTAGAATCATAAAATATATATATTCTTTTATGTCTGGCTTCTTGCATTTGGCATAATGCTTTGTTTTTACCCATTCATTCATATTGCTGAGCCAAATTCCACCAAAATTTGCTTGTCCATTCACAAAATGGAGGCTATTACATTTTTTTCCATTTGGAGTTATTATGAATAAAGCTGCTATTAACATTCCCGTACCAGCCTTTTGTAACCCTATGTTTTCATTTCTCTCAGGCATATCCGCAGGAGTGGGATCGGTAGGTTGGACAGTAAGTCTGTCTTTGACTTTACAAGGAGCTGACAAACCACTTCCCGGAGTGGCTGTGCCGCTTGGCACTCCGCGGGCACAGCCCTGTACCGAGCCCCGTGCCCCCTCCAGACCTGAGGTTCTCGGCAGTCTTCTCAACAGTGCCCGTGCTGGCGGGTCCACTGTGGTATCTCCCAGGAGCTTTGATTTGCATTAATTACCCTGATGACTAATGAAGCTGAGCCTCTGATACTTCTTCTTTGGCAAAGTATCTGCTCCTAAAAGCTCACGAGATGTTAATAAGTTATGGCCTTTTGTTTATCTTCTTTAGTAAGATACCTCTCTGAGTCTTTTGCCAATTCTGAACAACTGGGCCATCTTCATGTCATTGACTTGTGCTCCATATATTCCATACACAAGTTCTTTACCAGATACTCGGGGAATACGCTCCCCATCTTGGACTCACCTTTCAATCTGCTCATCAGTATTTTGTAAAAAGCAAACCTTTTCCATTTTGATAGAGTCTGATTTATTACTTTTTCTTTTATGAGTTTTGTGTCCTGTCTTGGAAATTATGCCTAAACCAAGGTCACAAATATTTTCTTTCAGGTCTTTCAAAAGTGTTATACTTTTAGCCCTTACATATATATGTATGATCCACTTTGAGTTAATTTTTGTATTTGGTGTGAGATAATAGTCAAGGCTCTTATTTTTTTCTAAAGATTTTATTTTTATTTATTTATGAGAGTGAGAGAGAGAGACAGGCAGAGACACAGGCAGAGGGAGAAGCAGGCTCCATGCTGGGAGCCTGACGCAGGACTCGACCCCGGGACTCCAGGATCGGGCCCTGGGCCGAAGGCGGGCGCCAAACCGCTGCGCCACCCAGGGATCCCCAAGGCTCTTATTTTTGCATATGATGTCCAAGTGTTCCAGCACCATTTGCAGAAAATAGTCACCTTTCCCATTAAACTACCTTGGCACTTTTATTGAAAATCAGTTGTTTATAAAAATGTAGGTCTATTTCTACTTTCCCAACTCTGTCTCATTGGTCTGTATGTCTGTCCTGTGCTGATTCCATACCGTGTTTATTATTGCAGCTCTCTAGCAAATCTCAAAATCAGGTAGTAGTAAGTCCTCCAAATTTGCTCCTTTTCAAAATCATTTTGACCACTCTAGATCCTTTGAATTTCCATATAAATTTTAGAATCAGGTTGTCAATTTCTACCCAAAAATATCTATCGAACTTTTGATTGGGATCATACTGAACTATAGATTACTTTGGGTATAACTGATTTGTTAGCAATATTAAATTTTCCAGGAACACCTGGGTGGCTCAGTGGTTGAGCGTCTGTCTTGGGCTTAGGTCGTGACCCCGGGGTCCCAGGATCAAGTCCTACATCCAGCTCCCTGCATGGAGCCTGCTTCTCCCTCTGCCTGTGTCTCTGCCTCTCTCTGTGTGTCTCTCAGGAATAAATAAATAAAAATCTTTTAAAAAAATTTCCAATCCATGAATATGATTTGTCTCTACATTTATGTCTTTATTAATTTCTCTCAATTCTATTTTTATAGTTTTCAGTATACAGGCCTTGCACACATTTTGCTAAATTTACCTATAAGTATTTCATATATTTAATGCTTTTGTAAATGCTACTTTAATATTTTATTGTCCAACTCTTTGTTAGTAGTATATAGAAATACAATTTTTTAATTACCTTTTTATCCTACAACTTTGCTAAATCCACTTATTAGTTCTAACAGCTATTTTTCTTTTTCTCTTTTTTTTTTTTACAACGAGAGACAGAGTGCAAGCAGGGGGAGGGGCAGAGGGAGATGGAGAGAGAGAATCTCAAGCTCTACGTTTTAGCTCAGAGCCCGACACGGGGCTAAACGCAGGGATCGATCCCATGACCCTGAGATCATGACCCCAGCCAAAATCAAGAGTTGGTCACCGAACCAACTGAACCACCCAGGCACCCCTCTAACAGCTATTTTTGTAGTTTCCTTAAGATTTTCTACATAGACAACGTATCACAAGCAAGTTGAAACAGCCTCACTGCTTCCCTTCCTCCTTGAAAGCCTTTTATCCCTTTTTCGAGCTATGGTGCACCTGCTTGGCCCTCATGCAGAGCAGAGGTAGTGAGAATAACATCCTTGCCTTGCTCCTGATCTTGTGGGAAATCATTTAGTCCTTCACCCTTTCGTCTGAGGTAAGATATAGGCTTTTGTAGATAACTGACATGGTTGAGACCTAGTTCTGTTTGCTGAGAGTTTTTATCATGAATAGGTGCTGAATTTTGTCAAATGCCTTTTTGTTGTCATAATCTATTATCCTTTCTACACATATGTGGATACACAGATCCCTTTTACATATTCTTTTGAAGATTTTGGGGTCTGTATTAATAAGGAGTATTATTTATAGTTTTCATTCTTGTAATGTTTTGTCTTGTTTTAGTATCAAAGTGATGCTGACTTCATAGAATGAGTTGGGAAATGCTCCCTCATTTTCTAATGAGGTTTCTAAACCTTTCTGTAAAGGTTTGTATAAAATTGATAGTATTTCTTCATTAAGAAACACTGAAGAAAACACTTCCTTAAGTGTTTGGTAGAATTCACTTATGAAGCCGTCTGGGGTTAAAGTCTTCTTTATGGGATGATTTTAACTATAAATTCAAATACATTCAAAAAATTTTTTTAAGTTTTAGGGATATTCCTGTTAAAAAATTTTTACTGAATGCTAATGGTTTATGTCTTTCAAGGAATTTGCCCATTTCATTTATGTTTTTAGATTTGTTGCCATAAAGTTGTCCACAATACAAGTGGTTAACTTAGAAGTTGGTTTTTCTTTTTCAGCCTGTCAATATGGTAAATGACATTCCTTGAGTTTCAGTATTAAACCAACCTTGCCTTCCTGATATAAATCCCATTTGGTCATTGTCAAGGAAATAGCATCTGTTACCTGTTTTCAAGACAAGTACAAATATTTCTGCCTATTACATCTTGCTGTTAGAGCCACAATAAATAAATAAATAAATAAATAAATAACCACAGTCAAGCACTGAAGGGAGCAAGCTTACTCACCCTAGAAGTCAAGACCAAGATCAGCTTCCCGTTGTGAGTGCTGGCCCCTGTATGGCCAATGGGTGCCCCCCAGTGGCTGATGCATGGCCATTAGCCTGCATGCAGCCCTCTTGTGCTGCAGCAGAACTCCAGCCCTCTCCGCATAGACAGATGCAGCAGTGGGCTTGCTCAGGTGCCACACGGCGCACACATTTAAGCAGAACAAAGGAGCACACACCGAATCTGAAAAGGAAAGATATTCCCACACAAAGTGACCAGCCCAGCCAAGCTGTGAGGGTTTGTTTTTCTTCTTTACCTCTGGTTTAGTGGCTTAAAATAACAATGCATGAATCAAATCCCTTAGTTTGAGCTTGAGTTCATAAAAGAAAAGTTCAATAAAGCTGAAAGAATAAAATGCTTAAAAAACAGCATTTTCTTTTTTTATTTATTTTCCTTTATTAAATTTTTTTAATTTAAGTTCAAGTTGCCAACATACAGTATAACACCCAGTGCTCATCCTATCAAGTGCCCTCCTCAGTGCCCGTCACCCAGTCACCCCATCCCCCCACCCACCCAGCTCTCCTTCTGCAGCCCTTTCTTTGTTTCCCAGAGTTAGGAGTCTCTCGTAGTTTGTCTTCCTCTCTAATCTTTCCCCCCTCAGTTTCCCTCCTTCCCTTATAATCCCTTTCACTATTTCTTATATTCCCCATATGAGTGAGACCATATGATAATTGTCCTCCGATTAACTTACTTCACTCAGCATAATGCCCTCCAGTTCCATCCATGTCAATGTAAATGGTGGGTATTTGTCCTTCTAATGGCTGAGGAATATTTCACTTTATATATAGACCACATCTCTATACATCATCTTTCGATGGAGGCTCCTTCCACAGTTTGGCTATTGTGGACATAGCTGCTGTGAACATCGGGGTGCAGGTGTCCCGGCGTTTCACTGCATCTGTATCTTTGGGGTAAATCCCCAGCAGTGCAGTTGCTGGGTCGTAGAGCAGGTCTATATTTAACTCTTTGAGGAACCTCCACACAGTTTTCCAGAGTGGCTGCACCAGTTCACATTCCCACCAACAGTGCAGAGGGTTCCCCTTTCTCCATATCCTCTCCAGCATTTGTGGTTTCCTGCCTTGTTAATTTTCCCCCATTCTCCCTGGTGTGAGGTGGGATCTCATTGTGGTTTTGATCTGTATTTCCCTGATGGCAAGTGATGTGGAATAATGTTTAAATTCATTTGTGTCTGTAGGATCTGTAGTGAAATTCCCTTTTTCATTCCTGATATTGGTAATGTGTGTGTGTGTCTTTTTCTTGATCAATTTGACTAGAGGTTTATCAATATTTTTGATCATTTCAAAAA